GAGTCTAGCACGTGGCCTCCTCTCTGGTCAACTATCCTAAGAAAGCAGAGAAGTTGGACCAGTTATTCTCGGAGGGCAGGATGATGACGATATGGACACATGGCTTTTGTTCTCCTAGTGAACACGTGGGATAATGCCCAACGGTCCTCAGTTTGGGCTGCACGCTTTTGGACCATTGTAAAGGCGCTGGATTGGGCTTCTCCAATGGTGGAACAAGTGTCGGCCGAGTCCAGAACAATTTCTATATTAAGGCTTCACAATAATTTTACCAAACATTCGTTTTGATTGTCACATTAGGACTTCGCAATAGTTTTACATAACATTTCATTCATGTTCTACTTTACCTCAAAATCATTTATTAATAACAATAATACACATACATATATGTATCACGAATCTTTACCACATGATAACTGTTTGTATTAGCTTTCTAATGCATTTTACTGCGCCTCAATCAGAGTTTCTAAACCCCAGTTATGTTATATCAATTCTGACTTAAAATTTTTAACATTGGTAGTCGAATACATAACGGTATTATTCGAATATCAACTCCATCAAAACAAAAACAAAAACTACATTTTTCTCCATAATCTTGTATCCAAACGTCACTTATAGTTTCCTTAACTCAAAGACGCAAACAAACATTACATGCAATTTCATATCATAACACATCAAAGTGTTGCTTAGCATCAATTGAACACAATCAATCTATCATAACATATAATCCTCAAAACAAAACATGAATCAATGATTATATGCACATACTGATAAAACAAACATATCAGTTCACACAAAAATCCAAAGATCTATAATAAAAGAGAGATTCATGATATAAGGTTCATAAATAATCATCCCTTAGAAAAATCCCCACAGAAAATTAGGCTTTAAATTGGAGTTTGAGGGAAACTTCATTATCTTAAACAGTAGAACATTTCAATTATAAAAAGTAACCTTATAAATTATTGATATTGCAAAATAATTTATAATTTAATATTTTAAAAAATGAAATATAACAAAAAAAAAAGGAGAAGGGGAATAATAGTAGTTGATAAAAGCTAAAGCAAAGTTATGATTTCCTAAATCATAATAACAAAAAAGCAGAAACTTCATTGTGTCGTTCACACACACCAACTTTGAAATAATCCACTAGGTAGCAAGTGTCTCTATGGGCTGTACAATGTGGAGTGGAGGGGGAGGGTCTACATCCTCACCAACTTTTGATTATTTCACAATCCAACACCCACAATTTCTTAAATAAGTAATATATTTTGACTAAAGGTAGACTAAATACATTGTTTATTTAAAAAATTTTAAAAATAATTTTTTATTATAATAAATATTAGAACGAGTATTATACAACCTACTTTGCTGAAGTAATATAATTTCAACACTAAGTCATAACTATTACAACCAATCATCCTACCTCATTATTATAGGACGGAATTTCAATTTCCTCTATTCTTTTTCATATTCAAATCCAGGAGAATTACATATATTTTACTAAATTTTAAATTTTGTTTTTAATATCATTAAATCTCAATTCAGATCATGGTTTCTCTAACTTAATTTCTAAGTAATCATTAATGTCCTATTAAATTTGCCACTTTAATCCTTATTATTTTATATAGACAGAATACTATAAATAATATAATGAATTTGACAAAATGTTTGAAACACTTATTATTTTAATACATTTTTCAGACTAACAAGAAAACAGTTTATTCTACTCCATCTCATATTATAAATAAAATTTATTTTTTAAATTTATTAAATAATTAATATATCTGATTTATATATAGACTAAATATATTAATTATATAATTAATTTAAAAAATGAAATTTGTTTATAATATAGAATAGAGAGGGGGAGTATCCTAATTGAAGATTTACTTTATAAATCCATATTAAAATATTTGTGTTCATAAAAATAAAATAAATTAATATAATCCTTATTTTATATGATAGAGAGATATCTTTCCTTTTAAAAAAAGTTTTTAATTAAATAGAAATAATTTCATTAAATATATTTTTTATCTTTAATACCACGTATCAATTTATTAAGTAGTTGTACATTTGTGCAGAAACCTCAAATTATCTCACATTCAAAAGATTTTGCTGTCTATATTAATCTCTTAACGTTACACAACTCAGAAATTATATTTTATATGGTTGGTAAATGCAATAATTAATTATTAAACTAAGAATAAAAAATTAAAAAACTAAACCCATGCTTAACCATGTAGAAAAAGATACACGTTTGGTTACACATAAATCCAATTCTCACCAACTCCCATTTTTTTTCTTTCATATATTTAACGTAAACCTGTCTCCAACCTTCTCTGTTCCAACACACAACTCATCACAATGACTCTGTTTCTCACCATACCTCTTTCACTTCTCACCCTCTTCATCTTCTACACCCTCTTCCAACGTCTCAGATTCAAGCTTCCACCCGGTCCACGCCCCTGGCCGGTCGTCGGAAACCTCTATGACATAAAACCAGTCAGGTTCCGGTGTTTCGCGGAATGGACCCAGTTCTACGGGCCAATTATATCGGTTTGGTTCGGTTCGACTTTGAACGTGATTGTTTCGAATACGGAGTTGGCGAAAGAGGTTTTGAAAGAGAATGATCAGCAGTTGGCGGACCGGCATAGGAGTCGGTCGGCTGCCAAGTTTAGTAGAGATGGGAAGGATTTGATTTGGGCTGATTATGGACCTCATTATGTGAAGGTGAGAAAGGTTTGTACTTTGGAGCTTTTTTCGCCCAAGAGAATTGAAGCTTTGAGGCCTATTAGAGAAGATGAAGTTACTGCTATGGTTGAATCTATTTTTAATGATTCTACTAATCCTGGTATGTTTATGTTTTTATTTTGGTTCTTGGAATGTTTTGGTTTTCTTTCATAAATGTTACTAGTAGATCATTAATGAGTTATAGGCAGTTTTCTAAGTTATTTTGTTTTTGCTGTTATAAACCCAAGAGAGATGAGATGGTAAATAATCTCTTTCAGTTTAACCAAACTCAACTATGATAAGTGTTTAATTTTCTTGATAGAGAGATTTCTCGCCCACAATCATAGGTTTGAACCTGGCTCTAGGCAGTGTTAAATTCTTTTGAGGGAATGATAAGCTGCCACATGAGATTATTCTCCGCAAAACGCAAATGATACCCTGATTTATCCTTATTATTCACTATTCTTAGAATCATATCAAATTTCTACTCTTCCAATTAACATGCAACAATTTTAAAAATAAAATGTTTGGATAATGTGCTGATGACCAAATGTATATTTGTATAATTTGTTTTTTCTGCAGAAAATTTGGGGAAAGCTATACCAATGAGGAAGTATATAGGGGCGGTTGCATTCAACAACATCACAAGGCTGGCTTTTGGGAAAAGATTTGTGAACGCAGAAGGTGTAATGGATGAGCAAGGAGTAGAATTCAAGGCTATAGTGGCAAATGGGTTAAAGCTAGGAGCATCTCTAGCTATGGCAGAGCACATCCCTTGGTTGCGCTGGATGTTCCCACTAGAAGAGGAGGCTTTTGCCAAGCACGGTGCTCGCCGAGACCGACTTACTCGAGCCATCATGGACGAGCATACACAAGCACGCCAGAAATCCGGCGGTGCTAAGCAACATTTTGTAGATGCCCTTCTCACCTTGCAAGACAAATATGATCTTAGTGAAGACACCATCATTGGTCTCCTTTGGGTATGTTATTTAAAGTTGTTAGCGTCTTTATAAATTATTATCATTAGATCAAAATCAAACGACTCAGATGCAAATTGTTGTAATTTTAATTTAGATCTCTCTGTTTCACCAATATGAAGTTTCACCAACATGAAGTATTGCTCATGTTTTTTCTTTATTTGATAGGACATGATAACTGCTGGGATGGACACAACTGCAATATCGGTTGAGTGGGCCATGGCCGAGTTGATAAAGAATCCAAGAGTGCAACAGAAGGCACAAGAGGAGCTAGACAAGGTCATTGGTTTTGAAAGGGTCATGACAGAAACTGACTTTTCAAGCCTTCCTTATCTACAAAGTGTAGCCAAGGAGGCTCTAAGGCTGCATCCACCAACACCATTAATGCTCCCACATCGCGCTAATGCGAATGTTAAAATTGGTGGCTATGATATTCCCAAGGGGTCCAATGTCCATGTCAATGTATGGGCGGTAGCTCGTGACCCGGCTGTATGGAAAAACCCGTTGGAGTTTAGGCCCGAGAGGTTTCTTGAAGAGGATGTAGACATGAAGGGACATGATTTTAGACTACTTCCATTTGGAGCAGGTCGTCGGGTTTGCCCAGGTGCACAACTTGGAATCAATATGGTGACATCGATGTTGGGTCATCTATTGCATCATTTCTGTTGGGCACCTCCTGAGGGAGTGAACCCTGAGGAGATTGATATGGTAGAGAACCCTGGAATGGTGACATATATGAGGACTCCATTACAGGTTGTGGCTTCTCCAAGGCTTCCCTCAGATTTATACAAACATGTGCCAGCTGATATCTAATCTTTTTTTTTCATACTGCAATGTTGCTGTTTTTCGAACTGTCGAGTAAATTTTCTTGTGGGATTTATTTCTACCATTGTGTCATATGTAAACTATGATTGGAATACAATGTAAGGAACTATGAAAGACTCATGACAAATTTGCTTCAGATTTTGGATTGATGTTTCTGTAGTGTATGCATAATTTTATCAGATTCTGCTATATGATATTGACTATAGATTTGTAGACGTAATATCTAATTATTGATAAAATATGAAAGGCGAGTTACATTATTACATATGCATCTCAATTTGTACGTATACGTATTATATCGTAATTCGTATCTCAATTTGTACGTATACGTATTATATCGTAATTCGTAATCATTCACATCTATACAATTATGCACAGAACACGTTCACAGAACAGCAAGTTTTTCATAAGAGTAACTGCAGCATCATTTCCACTTACATCAATAAATATAAAGATGGCCAAATTCATTCAGTAGTGACCTTGTTCCATCCAGTTCACATAAAACCTTCCTCCTCGTTTTTTATTTACCTCAACCCGAAACCTTTCTTCTTTGACTCCCCTGCTTACCTTCAGAAGCAAGTCGAACCTGACATGGTCTCCAATGGCCTGCATTTTAGCAGAAAAATGTGGATCGAGTAAGGTCAATACATCAAAAAGAATATAAACAGGTCTGTTGAAGGAAGAGAAGTAACGAAAGAAAAGGGAAAGGGTGTGCAATCACAAGAGATTCAACCAAATCTCGAGTAGATGCCAGCAATTAATAAAAGTTAACAAATATAACTGCTCACCCTGGTTTTGGCTTGAATAATGTCCTGGAGTTTATACGGAGACAGAGAGTTGGACCTCCGTATAATGGACTTCACAGCAAAATTAGCAGCATCTTTGACATTGGGATCGTGATTTGGGACTTCATGCCATCCCAATTTGTGTCCCTCTGAATTAAAATTGGTAAAATTTCTCATAAACAACCATCGAAATTTAAAAAAAAAAAATAACGACAAGATCGTTTCGGAGCAACAACTAGGGCATTAAAATCATCTATGAACACCCATATCAACATAAGGTACAAACCAACTACCTTTGGCTTGTTATATAGCCAAACAGCCATATATATCTGTTCACAAATTATGGTACTCCATAGTTTCTTATCTACAATCAATGGATATAAACAGAAAATCACCTTGCCTAACACCCAGATCAGAACTCGTAAACGAAGAGATAACACGAGCAGGCTTGAATTCTTGCAACTGCTTGAAGTTCATCCACGGCTTCACCCAAATCTTGGCTTCGTATATTCTCTTCTTCCCCGCATCAACTGCTTCCAGGGTAAGAGAATATACTTTACCTGCTACAACTTGTTCCTTGGCTTTCAATACCTTAACATATTCAAGAAGTGCATTCTGCATAGAACACATACATATAAAAAGAAACTTTGATTTCATAATTTCTTGCATTTCAATCTCTTCTGAACCTAAAAGCGAATTTAATCTATTTTGTGTACAAAATTCAAATGAACAAATCATTATCAAACCCAAAGGCCAAATATTTCAACAATCTAATATAGTAATAAATTGAAATCAACCATTAAAAACCTCTTTGTTGTTATGTTGTTGAACGGCGAAACGAGCGAGGCTTTCGATTTCTGCAAAATCATTGGGAGATTCCTCGCCTGCTCCCATTTTGTTGATCCTAATGTTGTTGTTATCATGTCGTTGCGTGCACAAACCTAAGTCATGAAGACAAAAAAGCGTAAGAAAAATGGCAATGAAGATTGCATGAAACTTCGTCATCTTCATGCACTATTCCCACTCGGAAACAATGAATCGCTTGTTGTTTTGGCTTTGAGAATTGAAGGTTTGTTTTTGTTTGTTGTGTTTTCTTGTTCTTTTTGTTTGGGACGTGGGTTTCGTTTGGTTTTTAACATGTTACCTCCAAAATTATATACGGTATCTTTCAATTTTTTAATTCCATTTTTATTTTTGGAAGAGTTAAACATGATTTTTGGATGAAATTTTCGGTAGAAGTATTGAAATTTTCGGTACAAGTTAAAATTTTGGTATACTCGTACGAAATTTTTGGTACTGTAAATTTCTAATAGTGTATTTACAATTTTTGATAGTATTAAAAACATGATTTTTTGAAAGACTGGATTTTACCGATATATTTGGATGGTTTTGATTGCGCCGACATATTTGTGTGGTCTAGAATGCATCACCATTTATATAAACAGTGACATTAGTTGTAGAGAAAATACATCTCAAAAAAATGTCTCTTCCTCAATTTCTAATTAAAGCAGAAGTGTATTACAACGACAACAACCTTTTGTGCCTCCACAAGCTCTGTATGCAAACTCCTCAACCAAGACATCCGAAGGTGAAACCTCTGAATCTCACCAAACTCCTTCAGCACCTCCGCCTCTGAACACTCCAAATCCATAACCACGCGCACGGCCATCACCTGGTCTCTATAAATTGATGTAAAAAATGTACCAGCAATCGAAATGTGAAAGAAGGCGTCCACATCATCTAAAGTCACTGTCATCTCCGCAAATGGAAAATGGAAGGATGATGTCTCTGGATACTGTTATACCCCAATTGTTGTCCCTAAGATTTTTTCTGTCATCACATAGCATAATGGTATTGGGATCGCACTGTCTTCTAGCTTCGTTCCACACGGTTAAGTACGAATCAGAATTTCACCATCTCGAGTTCAAGTGTTCCGTCAAGTAATAGAAAAGCAGAAATTCAGGGGACTTTCAGGATTCAGTTGGGAATGTTTTGAGTTTTAGGCTTCTTCAAGCTCTCAAATCATCTCTTCATTATTGTGATTTCAAAGTAAGAGTATTGGAGTTTCTCATCTATTGTGCTCGAGCTTGTTGAGGTGTTCTCATATGCTTCAAGTTTTTATCATCTTCAAGGTTTTTCTCAAGGTATTTGCTTTAAAATCTTTAGTTATCAAGTTAAGGTGTCTTTGTGAATTGAATTTCAAAACATGAATCATGTCACAAGAGATGATGTTATGGACGCATGTTGTGATCAAGGCATCATTATTACTTGTTGCTCCAATTACAAGTTAGTTTGGATTTTGAGAATTAGGTAATAGGTTCATTAAAGAAACAAGTTGAGTGAGATTGAAGTGTGTTAGGGTTTAAAGACAGTCAAAGTGAATTATTTCAAATTGAAGCTTTGAAAACATTTGATTTGATTATGTCACAAGAGATTGACTGTCTTTAAGCATTTGATTTGATAAAAGGATTAATTCAAATTGGGAGATTTATTTGGATTACTTTGAAAACAAGTTACAAAATATAAGGATTACATCACTATGTTCTGTATTTCATTCAAATATCATTTGTCATCATTCAACTTTATTTCATATGTTCATCAATACAAATATCATTTCCCATCCATTAAGTTCAAATTCCAAATCCTATTTTCAAAATGCCCAACTACAAAGTTTTGTCACACCTGCCATGCCTTGTCCTTAAGCCCAAAACCTGACATTCAAAAGACTAGACTCTAAAGTTGCTTGCGTCAGTGGCTGCTTATTTGAAGAAACGGGTCACGTAAAAAGGAAGATTGGGAAATAGTATATATGAGGAATGAGATTGGATGATATGAGAATAAGTTGACGAAATTGGAAAAAAAATTGATAATAAAAAAAAGTCAGGAAAAACTCTGAGAAAAATCAGAATTCACCTCTCACTCTCAATCTCAATCCCGAGTCAATCTTCACCTTCCATTCATTATAACCAATTTTCTACCCAAGGGCCCCGAGGCATTCAACCTGTAATAAACTTCATTGAGCTTCAACTACCCGCAAAGGAGATGGAAACTTCAGATACAAAAAACTCAAAACAAAATTAGGCTCAATCATACCATTTATTTCTCTAACCGATTTTTTCAATCAAGGGCTCAGATTCATTCTAATCTCTAACCAATTCTCACATATTCAACAATCCATATAATAGAATTCTAACAGAAATCAGGGGAGGATTCATTAACCACAAGAAAGTCAAAGAAAATTAGCAAGACTCGCCTTTCAAAGCTCTCTCTTGATCTTCTCTCCATAACAGATTCTTTAATGGTTGGAAGAATCACCAGCAAAATCTCAGAGCTTCAAACTTTCTTTGCTTTCTCTTCATTAGATACGATGCATTTTCAGAAAAAACTGAGAAAATCTTCATCATCTCTCTCTGCAAAAACTTCACATAACTCAATCATCATCCTTCTGCATCTGTTAAGGATAAGCACATATTATTCACATTAAAGAAGGTCAAAGCAAATATCAAGACATTCAAGAAGGTCAAACCCAAGCAAACATGTGCTGGCAATATAACTACTATAGGCGTGTAAACATGATGGCAATGCATATCCATATAGCTGTCAAATTATATCAGGAAATAGTATCATAATTGTATTTAAAATAGGATTTCTATTATAGGAAATTATAGACTAGACAATTATAGGCAATTAGTATACAGATCCTTGTACTCTTATATATATGTACATCATTACAAGAATAAACATAACAAATTCCGATACAATATTCAAGAACTTATATGGTATCAGTTTTTCTCTGGTTAATATCCCTCAGTTTGTGTTTATCATCCTGTTTCAATCCTTCTTCATCGATTCACTCACTCACTCGCATCATCATGTCTGATGTTCCACCACCCACCAATGATCAATCCGCCACCACCTCCAACACCGATCCATGTGTCATCCATCATTCCGACAACCCTACAACTGTCCTTGTTACACCTCTGCTCACGGTCGACAACTATGGTTCATGGAGCCGAGCCGTAACAATGGCACTTCGTGCCAAAAACAAATTCGGGTTTGTCGATGGAACCCTAATCTGTCCAAAGAAGGCCGATGATATCTCTAAGTGGCGCCGCTGCAACGATATGGTTGCAAGCTGGATTCTCAACTCGGTTTCAACCGAGATTCGCCCTAGCATTCTCTATGCTGAAACGGCGGCACAAATCTGGATCGATCTCAAGGATCGTTTATCTCAGTCCAACGCTCCAAAAATCTATCAATTGAAACAATCTATCTCTGCCCTAAAATAAGAGGGCGTGTCTGTATCTCTGTATTTTACTCAGTTGAAATCTCTCTGGAATGAACTCCATTCCATCGCACCTATCAATCCGTGCATCTGCGGTAATGCCAAGAGTATTATTGATCAACAAAACCAGGACCGGGCCATGGAATTTCTTCAGGGCGTCCATGACCGATTCTCGGCCGTCCGCGGCCAAATTCTCCTCATGGATCCCTTTCCTTCAATTCAGCGTATTTATAACATCGTACGCCAGGAAGAGAAATAACAAGAGATTAATTTTCGACCCCTCCCTGCTGAGGAATCAGCAGCGCTTCAAGCTTCTAAAGTGCAGTATCGCACTCAAGGAAAACGGAAGCGTCCGTATTGTGAGAATTGCAATAAGCATGGTCACACTATTGCTACATGCTATCAGATTCATGGCTTTCCAAATAAGCCACCAAAGAAATCTGAACCATTCTCATCTACTTCCGCTACTCAACTCTCAAGCGCACAATACCAAAAACTCCTATCTCTCTTAGCCAAAGAGGACACTATGGGATCATCTGTAAATTTAGCAGGTACCGCTTTTACTTGTGTTCCTTTTTCTTGGATTATTGATTCTGGCGCTTCAAATCACATATGCACATCTCTTTCTTATTTTTCTTCATATTCACATGTTCATAAAAATATACTTGTTCAATTACCCGACGGCTCTCACGCGTCCGTGAAACACATCGGCAATGTTCATTGCTCGACGTCACTTACACTCACGAATGTTTATCACATTCCATCTTTCAAATATAATCTATTATCTCTTTCACAATTAACAAAATCAATACATTGTGATATTATTTTCTCATCCTCTGGTTGCATATTTCAGGACCGAGCAACGAAGAAGACGATTGGTCGGGGTAGTGCTCGGAATGGACTCTTCTACTTGAATGAAGAACCACCATTAAATAAAGATGACAACGATCACTATTGTGTTGACCATCCACCAAGTTCTTTTTTTAGTTCTAAGCAATGTAATAAGGCTGACCTATGGCATTTACACCTCAGTCACCCATCTATTTCCTGTTTTCAATTTATTGTTAAGAACTCTCCAAATATTAATGCGAATAAAGATTTTATTTGTGACGTTTGTCCGTGTGCAAAACAATCACGTTTACCTTTTTCTTCAAGAACATCATATTCATCTCATTGTTTTGAGTTAATTCATGTCGATATTTGGGGTCCATTCTCTACTCCATCACACAATGGATCACGAAACAATTGTCGATGATTATTCACGATGTACTTGGTTATATCTCATGCAACATAAATCTGAAACATTTACTATGCTAATTCATTTTTTTAATCAAAGTAATCACCAATTCAACACTAAAATTAATAAAATTAATTCCGGCGATGGGGGCATCTTTCTTCCCCAACTTCAAGCTATTCGTTCCGACAATGGTTCGGAGTTTTTGTCCAAACAAATCCAAACATGGTTTCATGATCATGGCATTATTCATCAACGCAGCTGCGTTGCAACCCCTCAACAAAATGGCGTTGTGGAGCGCAAGCATCGTCATCTTCTCGACGTCGCAAGAGCATTACGTTTCCAAGCGAAATTACCCCTTTCCTTTTGGGGTGAATGCATGCTCACTGCCGCTTATCTCATAAACAAACTTCCTACTCCCATCCTGAAATATAAATCTCCTCATCAAATTTTACTCGGTTCTCCTCCTTCATACTCATCACTTCGTGTGTT